GGAAAGTCTGCGGTCTTTAAGATGAGTGCAGAAGAGCTAAGAGTGTCCGGCAGCCCAGCGGAGTTAGCCACTGTTGTGTGTAGTTCAAAATACATCTGAGCCTGAGATGGGGGCCTAGCAGGCGCTCGTCTGTGTGGAAAAGCCATCGCAACAAGGAAGGGAAGAGATGGCAGCATCCTCCGTGTTAGCCTCGGATCTTGATGGTCTTTGTCTGCAGTTTGAGGCCGTTGAGGGTGTTGATGGCTTTGTCCGCATCATTGGGGTCAGAATAGTTCACAAACCCGTACCCCAGGCTCTGCCCTGTAGGAGGACCAGAAGAGTGACTTCCCTAGTCTGCCTGGGGTCCCCAACACACTTGCCACGCTCCAGCTTTGTCCCCATGACAGTGTGTTCCCCAGAGAGCCACTTGGCGCCATCCATCCCGAGGTACCCCACCCAGGTCACACTTGTTTTTCCACGGCACTTCCTCCCTGCTTGCCACCCGAGGCCACGCACCTGTGATCTTGTCCCGGACCAACTTGCAGGATTCGATGTCCCCGATGCTGCCGAAGAGACTCTTGAACTCATCCTGTGTCATGTTCTGGGGTAGGTAGTTGACGATGAGGTTGGTCTTGCTGTCGTCAGTGGCTCCGTTTGTCCCAAGGAGTGGCCCGTTGGGCAGGGCCGGGCCGGCCGGCCCCCCCCCAACCTGAGACTCCATGGCCCCCAGTATCTGCTGGAGAAAACAGGTCGCACCCGCTCACCGCCCAGTTCCCATCACTGGAAAGAGGGGCTTGGGGATGAATTAGTCACGTCTAACATGGACTGAGTCAAGGGAGAGGGTAGTAATGGTTTTCATCGGGTTTTGTTTGTTTGTTGGTCTTTTTTTTTTCCCTTTCCTTTCTTTCTTTCTTGAGACAGGGTTTCTCTGTGTAGCCCTGGCTGTCCTAGAACTCACTCTGTAGACCAGGCTGACCTCGAACTCACAGATCTGCCTGCCTCTGCCTCCCGAGTGCCAGCTGTATCCATCGTTGTCTTCTTTTAATGATCGACGGGAACACAGCAGGTGAAGCTGTCACAGCAGGTCTGAAGACTGAGCTGTCTCCAGAACCCCGCAGAGGTGAAAGGACAGAACCTACAACTACATAAAGTTGTCCTGTGACGTGTGCACTACACATGCACACAAAGCAAAATTTTAAAATGTAATCCGTTTTAAATTAAAAAAAAAAAAAAAGGCTGGGCGGTGGTGGAGCACGCCTTTAATCGCAACACTGGGAGGCAGAGGCAGGCAGATCTCTGAGTTCCAGGCCAGCCTGGTCTACAGAACTAGCTCTAGGACAGCCAGAGCTACACAGAGAAATCCTGTCTCAAAAACCCAAAATAAATAACATAAAGTAAATGCTTTATGTGGCTAAGTACCTTACCTGTGTATAACGCCAGCACTGAAGAGGCTAAACAGTGGGACCTTGGCCCTTTTTTTTTTTTTGACAGGGTTTCATGTAACCCAGGCTGGTCTCAAAACTTGCTATGTAGCCAAGGTCAACTTTGAACTCCTGAACTTCCTGCCTCTACCTCCCAGGTGCTGGGATTACAGGAGTATGCCATCACACCCCAAAGCCTGTCTTAAAACCAAGTCAAAAAAGGGCATAAGGGCAGGGGATGTGCCTCGGTGGTGGGGCACTTGCCTAAGATGGGTGAGGATCTAAGTCACTCCCTAGCCCGGCCAACAAGCACGGTAAATTATAGTTTGGATAGGCTAGGGTGTGCCCACAGAGGTGTGTGTGCTGGGGCCTGGAGTGGCCGGGGTGGGAAGCAGTAGAACCTTGAAGAAGATCGGCCTAGGGGAGGTAATTAGGTCCCTGGCAGGGAGGTTTCCCTTGGAAGGGATTGACTGATGCTCTCCAGGGGCCCTGGCTGCTTCTCTCAAGACTGGGCTGTTTGGGACTGGAAAGTGATGCTCAGCAGGTAAGGGTTTGATTTCTTGCAGAGGACCAGTCTGTCAGGCGGCTCACAGCCACCTGTGACTCCAGCTTCAGGGGACCTGATGCCCTCTCTGGCTTCCAGAGGCACCAACGCTCACATATGCATACACATGGACTACATAAAATAAAATCTTCAATAAATAGAGACACAGAGAGAGAGAGACAGAGAGATAGAGAGACTAGGTTCTTTTAGGGGACGGTGCTGGGTGGAGCCCAGGCCTAGGTGGGGCAGGGTGTCTTACGGAGCCACTCCAGCCCCTTTAGGTCTGTGCGGAAAGACCATCATCCCCTGGGCCTGGCCTTTTGAGAACAGCGGTTCCCGCTTTCTTTCCTCCCCTTCAGAAGAAGGGGGTCAGCACATGCCACCAGGATGGCAAGGCGGCATCCTCCATTCCCACTTCTCTGCCCCTCTGTGACCCAACCCGAGGGCCTCCCAGAGGGTGAACAGATGGGACCACCTGCTCTGGGACTTCCAACCTCCAAAACAGAGCTAAGACAACCTCTTTTGTAGCCCAACATGGTCGCTAGCCCATGTCTGTAGCACTGGGGAGGCTGACGCAGGACAGTTGAGGTAGCTTTGTGGTCAGCTCAGGCTGCAGTGAGGCAGCAAAAACAAGAGCGTCCTCCAGACACTTCCTTTCTGTCTAAACTTCAAGTCTTTACATTTAGTTGTTTAGTGCGTGCATGCGTGTGTGTGTGTGTGTGTGTGTGTGTGTGTGTGTGTGTGTGTGTGCGCGCGCGCAGTGCATACGTGCCATGGCACACACCTGGAGGGCAGAAGACAACTTGGGAGAGTCTGTTCTCTTTTTCAACACTCGGGAGCCGGGGGTCAAACCCAGGTGGTTCGGGATTGGCAGCAAGCTCCTCCACCTGCAGAACCAGCTCGCTGGTCCCGCCTCTCTCTCTCTCTTAAATTAATTTTTTTATTTGTTTTAATTTTATGTGCATTGGTGTTTGCCTGCGTGTACATCTGTGTGAGGGTGTCAGGATCCTCTGAAACTGGAGTCACAGACAGCTGTGGGCCACCATGTGGTGCTGGGAATTGAACCCGGGTCCTCTGGAAGAGCAGCCAGTGCTCTTAGCCACCGACTCATCTCTCCAGCCCCTCTCTTCTCTTTATAAACATTCAGCTTCAGGTATTTTGTTACAGCAAGAGAAAATAAGCAGTTACTTCATATAAATAAGCGAATACCTAAAATCAGTCTGGGAATTTTCAGGATAAAAAAGGAACACTTTTCTTCATAAAAAAAGAAGTAGTCACAGCCTTCCTGGTGGTGTACATTTTTAATCCCAGAACTTGGGAGGCTAGCCTGGTCTACATATCAACTTCTAGGTTAGCCAGAGCTACACTGTGAGACCCTGTTTCAAAGACAGAGGGAAGAAAAGAAATCAAAATCAAACAAAAACAAAAAGTGGAAATTAACGACTTTAGTAGCTTTAAAGCCACAATCAGGCCCTTCTCTGGTGTGATTTGGTTTTCTTCTCCCACCAGAGATAACTCCCATCTCAAGGGTGTCAATATTTTTTCCTTCCTACATAATTTTCCTATTAGCCGTTTAACCCTATAATCGCCCTGTGAACTATTTTGGTTTGACTTTCTTTCTTCTCTTTCTTTCTTTCTTTCTTTCTTTTCTTTCTTTCTTTCTTTCTTTCTTTCTTTCTTTCTTTCTTTCTTTCTTTCTTTCTTTTTAAATAAAACATAAAACATCTGCAAAGAATATGACATTTTAATTTCTTAATTTATAGACTGTATCTGTCACTTCTTTTGGTGGAGACTGGGAGCTCACTGCAAGGGTCCTTATTCCTGGTGTTAAAGAAATGCTCAAAACAAAAATGCTATGCAGGCTGTGGCGGTGGCGCCCACCTCTAATCCCAGCACCGGGAAGGCAGAGGCAGGAGGATCTCTGTGAGTTCAGTGTCGTTCTGGATGCCAGGGCTAAGTAGTGAGACTCTGACTCGCAGAGTAAAGAGGAGGAAGCTGGTGAGGACGGCACACACAGACGTGTGGAATCCCGGCACCCAGGAGACTGAGGCAGGAGGACCCATGAACTCAAGGCCAATTTGAGCTTCCCGGACCCTGTATTAAAAGCCAAAACCAGGGAGCTGGAGAGACGGCTCAGGGGCTAAGAGCACTGGCTGCTCTGCAAAGACCCAGGTTCAATTCCCAGCACCCACAAGGCAGCTCATAACTACCTGCCACTCCAGCTCCAAGGAATCCGACACCCTCTTTGGGCTTCTAGGGACTCCTGCATATTTGGGTTCACCTAAACTCACACAGACACACACACATACACATGAGTACAGAACACATATATGTTTTTAAAAGCTCCAAACAAACAGACAAATAATTAATGCTCCATAATAAATAACAGCTCCATAATCATCGTAGCGACAGATATTCTTCCCCTAGGGCTGGCAAGACATCTCAGCAGACAGAGGTGCTTGGCACCAGGCCTAAGAGCCTGACGACTTCAGTCCCCCAGGACTTACACGGTAGAAAAACCATTCCTGCAATTTGCCTTTTACCTCCTCCACATGTACACCGTGGCACACACGTGCTCACACATACAATAAATAAATACTAGACAACTTAAAAATGCAATTGAGAGATTTTTTTCTACATGAGCTTTACCCAGCTAAGGTTATTTTGTATGTGGTGGTGGCGCATGCCTTTAATCTCAGCACTCGGGGGGCAGAGGCAGGCGGATCTCTGTGAGTTCGAGGCCAGCCTGGTCTACAGAGGGCGTTCCAGGACAGCCAGGGCTACACAGAAAAACCCTATCTCAGAACAAAACAATTATTTTGTATGGAATTTGGAGGTGAGTGTGATGTAGACACTCTAGCCCAAAAGTTCTTAAGGGACAGAGGCTGAAGATTCAGCACAATCCTCCCCTAAAAAGAGAGTTCAAGGCCAACCTGGGTGGCATGAGATCCCACCTTTAAAAAAAAGAAAGGAAGAAAGAAAGAAGAAAATGGGCCCAGAAAGACAGCTTGGTGGGTAAAGGCATTTGTCAAAACTCGACAGCCTGAGTTTGACCCTCAGATCCCACACTGGAAGCAGAGAATCAAGTCCTAAAAGACGTCCTATGACCCACCCCACCCCCCAACACACACACACACACACACACACACACACACACACACACACACACACACACGTAAATTTTAAACAAAGAAAAGAGAAACCCAGAACATTTTCTTCGGGAGCTGGAGCTGTGACTGTAACTCAGGAGCAGAGTGCTTGTCTGGCGTGAGCCACCTCTCAGTCTGGTCTCTAGCAGTTAAAAAAACAAAAGCAAAAAAAAAAAAAAAGCCGTGTTTGATTTTGATCTAGATTTGTCCTTTCAGCAGGGAGTGGACGTGAGTTCTCATACATCCCGGATGAGTACACCACACTGTTATTTCTCTAGCCGTTTTATTTTCTTTTGAGCCACGGTTTCCTATAGCCCAAAGCAGCCCAGGATGACCTTGAACTTGTGAAGCTCTGAGTGCCGGGACTTGGGGCTGACCTCACACACCGGGTTTACATGTATAATGCTATGGACAATGTGGTGTTTTGTGCACACTAGGCAAGCACTCTGAAGCTGTGTCCAAACCTTCCCCCAGCTCGAGATGGTCTTGTTAAGCTGCCCAGGTTATCCTCCAACTTGCAAACCCAGAACTCTCAAGCAGCTGGGATCATAACTATGCTCTACAGTGCCTGTTCTATCAGGTTTGTAAATGTTGGATTTTATGGAAATATTTCCTGTATCTA